TGAGGGAAAATTTTAATGGAAAAACGATTTTTTCTGTTTCGATGTTAATCGATTTATGAAAAATCGAATTCAAAAGAAAAAAGTCCATGTTTCTGAAGAAATCGATTTTTTCCACAAACTTCAGGCTTTTATATACAGGGTGTATCAAATTTGACCATTGCGATCTTGGAAACTGTACCTCCGAAAAGAGCCGAAAGAACCGAATTTTCCTGACTTTTTTTAGTGGGATTTCAAAATAAATTGCACATTAACGTTTCCACTTTTATCCTCTAGAAAATGGCATAATTAGAATTTAAATAAGACGTCTCTCTCTTGTCCTCTAGCATCAACTATATTTTTTGCTATAGACGCCATATTGGATTTTTGTACAGATGAATAGGATTTTTAATTCTGATTCCAAAAATAGATAATACGTTGTACATTGACATTGTCAAACATTATTTATTTTAAAAAAATAAAAACTTCCTAGGTATGTCTTGAAATTGTCAGATAGTCAGTTGTTTCACTTATATTTCTTTTCTTTACAGTCGTCCAAACTCTGTTTCTATTTGAGGTCTGGTCTGGTATACGAAACAAATGAAATCTGATAATTTCAAGGCCTATCTAGAAACTTCTGTTTATCTGAAATAACTAAAGTTTGTCAATGTCAATGTATGACGTATTCATTTCTGGAATCGGAATTGAAGCTCTATTCATCCGTGCAAAAAATAAAGTTAGTGATGGAGGACAAGAGACGAAACGTGATATTGAAATTCTAATTATGCCATCTTGTAGATTGGAGAATGTAGAGGAGAAAAGGTTGCAATGTGCAAGTTCTTTTGAAATCTCACTACAAATAAAGTCAGGAAAATATTAAAACGATATTGGGAAAATTTGGTTTTTCCGTCGCTCTCCGGAAGTACTTTCAATTTCGGAACTTTCTGAGCGGAATTTTGTTGATTATCTAAATACGCAACTTCGTATCTCTTACAGTTTCCGAGATCTTATTGTCGAGGGTCGAATTTGAAACACCCTGTATAGTAATATCAAAATTGAAAGATCAACATTAGTAATTTATCACAATAAAATCAAATAAGATGATGAGATAACCTAACTACGATGAAAACCTCCTGGTTTCAAAACTATATTAGACTCGATAACTCAATTTAATAGAAAAAATAAACCTTAAATTATTTTTTTTTTGGACTACAGCTTAAACGGCTCGATGGATTTTGACATAAGAGATGTTTCTAGATGTGTCTTTACAGCTCGAGTGACATTGGGTATTTTAAAGTTTTACAAAATTAAAATGTATTTTAACACACCGGGTATATAAAAATGGCGGATTTTAAACGGAAACTTCAACTTTGAGATTTCTGTTTCACGTTAATTTTTTCTTGGTTGTATTATCGATTTTTTATTCTTTTCAGTTACTGCAGCCCAATTGTTTGTATTTTTAAATAAATGTACAAGTCTCTTTCTTTATGGGGGTTCACAATTCAGATGTGGCAAGATAATGTCCGCAAATATTTTGAAAATACGAGGGTGGGCCCAGAAGTACCCGACCCAACGAAGAAAACACAAAATTTTTGTAAAAAAATGTATTTATTTTTCAACATAATCTCATTTGAGCTCTATACACTTTTCCCAGCGATGTTCAATAAGTTCGATACTCTTTTTATCTCTAAGCCATTTTTTCAAGTGTGGAAACAGAAAATAATCCGAGGGGGCTAAATCTGGTGAATAGGGTGCATGAGGTAGCAATTCAAACTTTAATTCGTTAATTTTGGCCATGGCAATAACGGATTTGTGAGCTGGTGCATTGTCTTGATAAAACAACACTTTCTTCTTAACCAAATGCGGCCGTTTTTGCTTGATTTCATCGATCAAACGTTGCAATCAGTTCGCATAATGGTTTTACCTTTTTCAAGATAGTCAATGAAAATTATCCCACGCTTATCCCAAAAAACCGACGCCATAAACTTGCCTGCAGATGAAACGGTCTTCGCCTTCTTTGGAGCCGATTGTCCTTTTTGAGTCCATTGTTTTGATTGTTCTTCTCTTTCGGGTGTGAAGTGATGGACCCATGTTTCATCCATGGATATGAAACGACGCAAAATTCTGCTTTGTTGCTGTGGAACTTCGCTACTCGTAAGCACTCAATTGAAACATCTTCACGACACTGTTTTAGCTCGATTGTCAGCAATCGCGGCACCCATCTTGCACACAGCTTTCTCATGTCCAAATTTTCAGATAATATGCGATGAACCGCACTTTTTGAAATGCCTACTATGTCTGCTAGCTCGCGCACTTTCAGTACCGCTTTGTGAATTTTCTTCACCATTTCTGGAGTCGTCACCTCATTTGGTCGACCACTGCGATGCTCGTCTTGGCAGCTCATACGGCCTCGTTTAAACTCTGCTACCCAATATTTTACTCTTGTAAACGAAGGAGCAGACTCACCTAGAGTAGAATCCAGTTCAGCTTTTATATTGGTTGGGCTGAGGCCTTTGAAATAAAAGTATTCTACCACATAACGATGATCAATCTTCTTCATTTTCACAAATACACTGAAAACGTTCAGTATTGCTGGCTTCCAAACAAATACTAAACAACTCTTCAAACTTGACTCATATGCTTTATAAGTTGCATACTTTTTAATACAATGATATTTTTCAAACAACTATCGCAAATCTCTAGGTCAGGCCGGGTACTTCTGGGACCACCCTCGTACACACATGTCACTCGTTGCTTAAAGAACGAATACCCTATTAGGTATATCTTACTTCTCAAACAGAAGCCAGGGAGGGGGGGCATATGCCCCTGTTGCCCCCCGTAATGGGCGCCCATGAAGAACGTCCTGTCCGCGACCACCTTGTTGAACGCGGTGCGGTTGCTTTTGACTTTCTATCTGCGGCCACAAAAGGAACGTGCATACCGTTTTACGACCGGCGAAACAGCTAGAATGTGGTATGCCGCACCGCGGTGGTTCTACACATAGACTACTCTGGCACTCAACCAGCACCGGAAGGAAATCTGACACACTATTCGCTTCATTCACAACTCCGCGAAAGGCTTTTTTCCTTTCCTATTCTTTTCCGACCGGAGAACAGCGAGGAATGTCACTTTGCTAGCTGTTACATCATAGGCGTTGGTCTTTGTTACTGTGGAGAGCTTATAATTGAATCGGACATTTTAAAAGGCACGTTTCAAATACTTTACGCATTTGGTGTAACAGAAATCTGTCATTTATGTTTTTATGTACAGGCCGACCAACTAAGAATCCGAGGTACTGTATCTGGAAACCTATACATCGTAGAGGCTTGCGGCAAGAAAAGTTCTGACTTAAACGGCCAAGAGAAAAACCTGGAAAATATTTTAAAGTTTCTGAAATGGCCGCTAGCGGCTAAACTGCAATCTTGAATCTAAAAAAGTGGTTTTTAACGTTGGTGGATTTCAAGAGGCCTTCGCGATCACCAGACTTAACTTGTCTTGAGTTTTATTTATGGGGACACTTAGGCCCGTATCGTCAGTCGTCCCTACAATTGTAGGGCGCCTTTATGGCCTCCTTGATTATCATAGTTTTCTACTTCTCCGTGCCAGCGCTCTATTTTGAGGTTATGTCACAAACATCTATTTGCATCAAATTGTGCTTGTTTTTGAAATATATCATGTTTTATCAGCCTGAAATTTCCTACAATTTAAAAGGAAAACATATCTTCTCAATAGGAGAGCGCTGACGCTGACACGGGACAAGTGTAATCTTGAAATTTTTGAAGGAGAGAAAGGAGTATGACAATCAAGGAGGCCATAAAGGCGCCCTACAATTGTAGGGACGACTGACGATACGGGCCTTATCTACCGATTTCGTGTTTTTTTGATTTGGCAATGCTGTTTGGCGTCTCGTGACAATTTTCGATTTTCTATGTTCTTATGTGCATTACAATACAAAAAACGGCTCATCGGTTGTACAAATACATATCACTGAAAATCTTTAGTAGAACAAAAATATAATTTACCATCAAGTATCAAGTAGTTTGAAAATGCTTGACATGTAGTCAAGTAGAACAACAATAAAAAAAAACAAGTCAAACATTAACGTTTCAAGTAATTTTATTGGGGATATCTCGTTTTAGCTTTCCATGAGAGGACCTCAAGTGAAGGAATCACTATGCATTACAACCAGAGTTCCCCAAACTTTTTTGTGTCGTAGACTCCTTGCCATGTTTTTCCGTGTTGGGTTGGGTTGGGCTGATATTGATTTCCTGTAAATTTCTAACTGTAGTGAAGTTTAGTGTTAAAAACTTAAAGTAAAAACACATGTTAATTTATACATTTATTAATTGAATTTAAATTAAAACTACTCAAAATAAAATTTTGTATCTGTTATGTAAAATATACGTAACATTAAATAAACAGGTGTCTGACCAATAAGTGCCCGCATTGGGAATAAGTGCCCGCATTGAAAAAAAAAATAAGAGGGATAATAAAAAAAATAATAAAAAAAAGTTTTTTACTTAAAATAGTACAATAAGCGAGTTCGTTTATTAATTGTAACATAAACGTATGTTCTACAATAATTTCACTGTTAGTTTGATTAAATTCCGCTTCATATACGTTTAAGTTATCTAAAAATATTCAAAAAATTAACGAATTTTAGTGAGTACCTATCCTTGAATTTTCAGAATAATTAAAAAAAATACGCGGGCATTTATTGGTCAGACACCAATAAACATAAAATAAACTATAAGTAAAATAACATAAGCAATAAGTCAATATTTTTAGTGAGAAGGATGAACCTGATGCTTTAATAATAAGTTATCAACATTTGGCGTCAATTTTGTAAGGGTTAATCTTAAATCTCCTCGGCTAATGATGTCCAGTCTGTTTCTTTTTTTCGTTATGAGATTGGTAACAGCGCTGAATCCCCTTTCCACTAGGTATGACGATGGAAAGGAAATCAAAAATTTCCTTGCTATATTCCATAATACGGGATAAGTAACGGGTATGTTGTTTTGCAGCTAGAATTGCTGATATCCGTTTTTAAACTGAACCTTAAGTTCTTCGTTTGTACTTAGTTCAGTCAGTTCCTCTTGTATTATGACATTCGTTTCTTCTATGTCACCATATGGATTAATTATCCACGGTGGTATTACCATAGTCAAAATATCCTCAAACCTAGATTCAAAATCTGAATAGAGGGCATTTAAATGTTGAACGTAAGTTTAAACGTCGTCTTCCTGGCAGCTTGACTGTGACAAATTGGGGAACTGAGAAAATTCGCCCCGTCCAATATTTTGCTTCATTAGTTTAACTCTGGCAAGAAACGCTGATAAGATGGACTTTGTTTTAATCAAATTTAAACTGTCGCCTTGTAATTGCAAATTAACCATATTAAATTTTGTAAACAAATCTGTTAAATAGGCGATGTCTGTTTTCCTCTTCATTAAATTTTCTTTTAAAATTTTATCTTTAGTATCCAGAAATTCTAAAATAGTCTCAAAAAGTGCAAAAAATCTTGTCAAACATAAGCCTTTCGACAGCCAGCGTACTTCAGTGTGAAGGAGTAATTGATGAAAGTGTTCGTCATTTTCTTCACACAACTGCGCAAATAACCGCGTATTCAACGCGTTGCTTCGGATTCGGTTTACTGCATCAATGACTAAATGAAGTGATTCATGCAATCTAACACTCAAATTTTTAGCAACTAAATGTTGTCGATGGATGACGCAATGTATTGCTAACACCCCTGTCACATTTTGTTTTAAATAGCTTATAAATCCACGATAACGTCCAACCATGGCAGGTGCTCCATCTGTAGCTACTGATATTATATTTGATAAAGGAATTGCTTTTTCAATGAAGTAATCCTTCAAAACATGAAATATTGATTCACCTTTAGTGTCGGTTATCAAAGTTCTTACGAAGAGCAGTTCTTCGTAGATTTCTTGATTCATAATAAAACGAACATATGCCAATAATAATGCTGCATTATCAGGTAAAGTTGACTCGTCCAGTTGTAGAGAAATGGGTCGTTTGCAAATAATTACATAAGAAGCTTTCAATATCAGAACTCATTTCATCAATACGTCTTTCAACAGTATTGTTGCTTAAGGGAATTCTTTTAATGATATAATATGCAGGTTTGTGTAAAACAGTTTTAAAACCTCTTCAACGGCTGGCAAAATTAAATTCTCTCCGATAGTATGCGGTTTTCCGGATTTTGCTATAAGTAACGAGATATTGTAAGACACCCGTAAACCATCATCATTTCTTTGTGACGTCGAAACGAACATTCTGTCCAGTGTGTCTCTTCTGAAATTTATCTTTTGAGTGTTTGAAAGTATTTCACATCTTTCTCTGTTTTATCAGAGTGGCATCTTCTCAGATGATCTTGCAGTTTAGATGGTTTCATAGCGTCATTGCCCAAAACTTTGTTGCATAAAAGGCACATAGGCGATTGTTTGTCCGGCAATGATGGAATGAAGCCAAATTTCAAATAATCAACACTGTACTGTCTACATTTCTTTTTAGATTCGGACATGGCATCAGTCATCTGTGGGCAAAATTAAATTATTTAAATAAGACAGAAAATCCAGCAGCTGTATATTAAAAATATTTTTAGATTTTTCAGAAACCATTCCATAATTCGAACATCTTCTTGCAACAATTAGCTCGAATTACGGAGATTGCACTGTAATTATATTATCGATTGCTAAAACTTTCAAAAAGAAACTATTGAGGAGTACTCCTGTAATTTTGCATGATTGAATATTTAACTACTACAGTGAAAGCTCCCATAAGCGGACACTCACGGTTCCGTAACTTTTGTCCGCTTATGGGAGGTGTCCGTTTAAAAGAGAGTATGTAAGTATAGAGTATAAATAACGGGGTATATAATCATGAGGAAATGAGGTATTATAATCATGAGAAAAATGAAACAGAAACTCGCCACATTTTTAAAGTATGTATTTATGCTACATATCTATATAACATATGTACATATACGCATACAAAAACATAAATGCTTCAATACATGGTACGAGAATTTAAAAAAAACATTATTCTTTAGCTTGTTGAAAAAAGTTTAAAATGTTTGTCTGACGAAATTTCACCATCTTTTGCTGAAGGAGACAATTTTCGTAATAACTTTCTAAATTTTTCAAATGTTGAAATGCAGTGAAATCATCTTTAGCAAATTTTTTCAATATAGAAATATGATTTAGAGCTTCCCCATATGAATTTATCGTTTTTGAACCGCTTAGTGAGTCCACCAGTTCCACTTCTTCTTCTGAGTCGTTTGGACTACCATATTCAAGTTGGCCTGGGCTTTCTACATCCAAATTCGAAAAGTTGCCAATGGCATTTTCTTCTGTTGTTATGTTATTGTCTATGGCCAGGAAATCATCTACTTTCTGGGGATCTGCTACTCCTAAATGTTTGGCATGTCGCAGTAACTGAGCAAGTGTCGCTAAGGGCAGATCGTCTTCAGCATCGCAATAATTTTGCTCAACAAATTCTGAGCTACATTCACTTTTTCTGAATCCAGCTTTGCCAAAACAGTTTTTAATTGTAGAGGAATTTACTTTATTCCATGCTGTTTTTATAAAATACAAAGCTTCTAACACATTGATAGACTTTGTAAGCTCAGATAAGCTTTGACCATCGTCAATTTTTGTTAAAATATGTTTTAAAATCAAGTGCCGATAATAAAATTTAAAGTTCTGTATGACACCTTGATCCATGGGCTGACAAACAGAAGTTGTGTTTGGCGGTAAAAATATAATTTTCACATTTTTCATTTTCATATCACGAGGATGAGAGCATGCATTGTCTAAAAATAAAAGAACTTGCCTTTTTTGGATTCTCATTTTCCGGTCGAATTCGACTAACCACTCAGACATGATTTCTCGGGTCATCCATGCCTTTTTGTTGGATTTCCAAGTCGCTGGTAGATCCTTAATAGCAACGTTTTTTAAAGCACGGGGACGAGCCGCTTTCCCGATCACAATCAAATCGCATTTTTCACCGGCCATATTTGCACAGAATAAAATGGTTAGTCTATCTTTAGACAACTTTCCACCCACACATGTTTCTCCTTTAAAGGACAGAGTTTTGTCGGGCAATGCGCGAAAAAAAAGTCCACTCTCATCTGCGTTGTACACATCTTCTGGTTTGTAGCCAAGCAACATGGACGGAAGTTTCTCCAAAAATTGTGACACATCAACTTGATCTACTGCAGCAGCTTCGCCAGATATGCATTTGAAACTCACACTATGTCTCTTGCGCCACTTTTGCAGCCACCCGTCGGACGCACTGAAATTATTATAGCCCAAAGTAGTGGCGATTTCTTTAGCTTTCATTTTCACTAACGGCCCTGAGATTGGAATGTTCTGACTTCTAGCTTTCACAAACCACTCAAAACATGTTTTGTCTATAGCAAAAACCTTCCTTTTTTAAAAAATCCTTCTTTTGATTTATATTAGTTCCTGATTGCCATTTACTCCTGATATCTTCCTTATTTTTGGCAATTTCAGCTGCTTGCGTTTTCCCAATATTAAACCTCTTTGCCAAATGACGAACTGAAACACTTTCTCTGTCTAATACGTTAACAACTTCCATCTTTTCCTTTAACGAGAGCATCCTTTTTTTTGGTGCCATTTTACAGTTACAATAATAAAATACGTAACTCAATCAACTACGAATTTGCCTGAACTGAAGACAAGCCACAAGATTACATACAGGCTACCCAACGAAATGCGTAAATGGGCAATCACCTAATATAAATCGGGGAATTACCGAATTTTATGTATGTAGATATGTGCATTGCAATAAGCGGAACTAAAAAATCGTATTAGAGTTTCGCGTCCGCTTATGGGATATTTTTTGATCACATACAGGAAAATCTAGTGTTCGCGTCCGTTTATAAGAGCGTCCGTTTATCGGAATGCATTTAACATTGAAAATTGATGGCTGAAATTCGGTTCCAGGAACTTTGTCCGGTTAAAAGAGATGTCCGCTTATAGGAGCTGTCCGCAAGGAGAGCTTTCACTGTAATAACTAAAGTCATGATTGGCGTAATTTATCTATCTTTGCTAACTACGAGTACAAAACTAAAATTTAATAAAAAATAATGTACTTACTTTTCTCCAGCACTCTCAAACAAAATAACACTGACTCACTATAATTTGTGTGATATACTATCTGTTTATATTTTTTAAAATATTTCCTTAGCACTTTCCTTTTCAAGATTCAGGAAACGAATAAACGTATTTGTCCCACATTCGTATTTATAGAGTGACGAATTGAACAAGTCAGTGCAAGGTAGCGAAGCTCTGAGACTGCGACTCTCAGGTTTTTACAAGTTCAAAATGTATTGCGACCACAAACCGAATACCAACATCCTATAACTTACACAATTTTATAAACATATATAATAAATTTTTTACTTCATAGGTACTTTTATAAATAATGTATATGTTTTGATATTATAAGCTAGTATGATGTAAGTAAATAGGTACTATCAGTGTATGTGTTGAGATCCACTATCGTGGACCCCCATATTGATTTCATGGACCTCCAAATTTTTTTTCGCTGACGTAGACCCCTTGCAGGTTGTCATAGACCCCTAGGGGTCGATATAGACCACTTTGGGAATCAATGCATTACATGAAAAGACATTGCTATCGTCTGTACCCAGTCATTAATAACCACCAGGTGGTACCTTAATGACGGTGGTCTATCATCAAGATGATCATAATGATGATGATCACCGCTGGTCCTAATTGATAATCTCCATGTCGACGAGAGGGCGTAAGACAGTAAGCTTGTGGGTCGGAGGAGCTGAGCAGCGTCCGTCTGTCCGTCCGTTCTCCGAGCGTCCATATATTCCGGCGCGTCCATTATTTTTTAATGAGTCTCACATCCGGTGATTCGGGCGGCCATTATCGGAGCTCGAACGCCGGCCGGACCGGGCCTGGAGCGTCCCGAGAATATTGATGAGCCCAATGTGGGCGACGGGTATGCACACCGTTGTCAAATTTATCGAAATTTCTCTTCTAGGAAGAAATATTTGAGTACTATGATCGGTGGGGGCAGAAAATCGAGAGTATTGTATTTGGAGGAGCACGAATGTTCCCTAAATACATCAAGTTTGGCGGGAATGGGGAGCAAACTATCGCAACCCCAAATATGATACCTTGGGCTCAATCTTAATGAAACAGTGAACACGGACCATCTCATTCAGGAAATAATTCTTAAGGCTAATCGGCCATCTTCCGCTATGTCTCCAATCGTTAGCTTCTGCTCTAATGTTCCTATAGAAGTGAAATTGAAAATGATTGAAGCATGCATCTACCCGGTACATATAAAAGAGCTGGCCAGTTCTCCTACTGCATCCCAGACTTTGAAATTTCTTAAAAATACCGAGGAAGACTAATCAGTGAATCCGATTTTGATCAAGGTAGACGATCCAATCAGCCAGCAATCTCAAATCCAACCTCCAAAATTCAGGCGTCCTGTGTACTATATCTCATAATAATAATCACACTTTGTAAAAAGGTCTTACGACCCGTATCCTCCTCCTAATATTTCAGCCCTTCCCCAAGAAGTACATATTTTGAATGTATACAGAAGCAATATACAGGGTGGCGCATCGAAAACGAAACAGACGCATTTACTGGCAGCTCAGTTTTTTTTTTTGGAAAAACGCTCAGACTCTTCGATTTTGTTTTCGAGGGGGACACAAGTTTGGCAAAAAATCACGTTAGCACGTGCAGCCCCCTAAGCGGGGGTGACACCATCCCCAAAATCTTAAATGGAAAGGGGGGTCGAGTGATACCTTATTTTAAAAGTCTTTGAATTCCCTTTATAATGATATAAAATTAATGTACTTCAGTTCAGTAGTGTTGAAGATTTATTGATTTAAAGCTTAAATAAAACTAATACATCATCATTC